TAATTATACGGTGATCATTACATTCCCTTGCATTAGGTTTTTTTTGGTAATTTAATAAATGTTGATTTGAGCCAATCTCTCGGAATAATACCCGTATTATATATATAGTATTATATAAGTCTACTAATACATTGATCTGATCTTCTGATATTAATTTAATTATTTCAGTTGGAATGGTGTCAGGTCCCGCAGTTTTATTAGATTTTGCCAGATTTATTGCATGTATTATTTCATCCTTAGTTATATTTGTACCTATATCATGTTCCTCGCAATCGTTCATCCTATCTTGTTGTGTCCTGTCATCCTCAAACAATTCTTGGACGTATTCTCTCCATCTGTTTAGTTTGCCTTTTACTTCAGATATTATTTTACCATTCGTATCAACCAGGGTGTTATTATTGTTGGACCGTCTTATACCTGCTAATTCTTTAATTTTGTTGTGCACTTCAAAACTATCTTGATTTCTCTGGAGTTCTTCTATCTCTAAACATTTGTCGTTGTACCACTTTTCTTTTTATTTGCCCGTATAGCTGCCCGTATTTTTATCCTGATCTCCTTGTGTGTGGCTTTGTATTCGTTTACATTTTTGTTTTTGTATGATCTTCTTTTGTCCATTAGTTGCCGGATCTCATCTGTCATCCATGGAGTCTTAGCTTCATCGATTTTGTGACTACTCATCGTATTTTTAATTGGCATCATTAATGTGTTCTTAAATTTTTCCCATTTTTCGTTGGAATCTTCATTATCATTGATTATTGTTTTGCTTAACTCCTCGTTAATTTTCAACGTTAGTTCTCCTTTTGTATTTGGGTGTTTTAGCAGAGTGCTTATTTGTTGTGTCTTTTGTTGTTTTTTTATTTTCTTTAAGTGGATTTTGAATTTTACGATTACTGGATTGTGGTTTGATGACACATCTGTTCCTGGATATGTCTTTGCCGATTTGATGGAGTTACGGTATCTCTTATTGATAAGGATATAATCTACCTGGTTTCTGATAATTTTTTCTTTGCTATCCTTAGGTGATTTCCATGTATATAATCTACGTGGTGGTAACTGAAAAAATGTATTTATCGCTATCATTTTAAACTCCTGACAGAATTCCGTCAGTCTTTCCCCTCTTTCGTTCCTTATTTCTAGCCCGAATTCACCAATAATGTCTTGGCATTTACCTTTTCCTAATTTGGCATTAAAATCCCCCATTGTTATTATTATATCTCTATTATTGGTGCTTTCTAGTGCTTTTTTAATGTCATTGTAGAACTCTTCTATTTCATTTTCATCTTTATCTGCAGTGGGGGCGTACACCTGTATGATATTAAGAGCTCTATGCGTTGTTTGGGCTGTGATAATTAACACTCTATCCGAACAAAACAAGTTACAGCTTGGCAGAAACTGCGATCAACCACTATAGCGACGCCATTATAGTGGTGAATATCTTCATTTGCTGAATAGTATATTTTGGCACTATCGACTTCGATTTCGCCAGATCTACGCCATCTGGTCTCACTTAGTCCCATTATATTAACTTTAAGTCGCCTCATCTCATGTAATACATTGTGGATCTTCCCTGCTTCATATATATAGACTTCACATTCCAGGTACATATCTGCAGTTCGTTTATATTTTTGTGCCTGACGCGGGGTTTTCGCATGTTGGCGACCTAGGAGGCCCCGCGGTCTAACTGAGAATTGCCTCCCCTGTCGGATCTTGGTATCCGATGTCCATGATCAGTAGTTGTGAAATTGTCATTTATAGTAGCCATGATAATTGACAAGAGATATCTATTTACAGATCTTTAATGTAGTGGTTTCTCGTTGCCTTCTATACTTCATCTAATTTAGATAACGACTTACGTCATGATCTACGTCAGAGATCGAAGTTGACATAGTTGCCAAAGTATAAAAAAATCCTGACTCCATTTTAAATCAAATAGATCACATAATTATTGCAAAAGTATTACCATCGCTTTACAATGACTATTTAAATTCTTACGTGACATTTTTAAAATAAAACACACTAATTTTGTTCTAAAAAGAACAAATTTTATTAAATAGGTAAAAATATAAAACAAGAGATATTCATTTTAATATTCAAAATAATAAAGTACAAAAGTGTCAACACCGCAACTGTCAAGTAAGTGTTACAGTTACAGTGTGTTCCGAACAAGTGTTCTTGATAAAAACGCTTTATAATGCATTTATACAAATTATATGAAACATATTATTGTGTATTTCTTTAAGTTAACATTAATAGAAATTTTTAAATATTATTTCTACGCGTATATAATAAAATATGTCTAGTGTCTGTAATGCCAGTGTACTCGGTAAAGTGATTCTAAAAAAGAACACACCTACCGCAAAATATTTCGTATTGGTATCATGTGACGTCACAGGCTATGACGCCAATGACGTGCATCGTTATATAAATTAGATGAAGTGTACATCCTTCTGCCGTTGACCATTTCTTTGGTTCATCCGCCTTTGGAGTCGATTTCTCAATTCCAGGACAAAAGAGGGCCCTATCACTTATCAACTCATCCGCCCGTAGCCGTTGATCAGTAAGTGAGAGATTGCTTATACCGGCAAACACTCGTTCCCTATCTGCATTGGCCATCTATAGATAGATGTTGCCCATCTTCTACCACGTGGAGGTTGCAGATTTGGATTTTTCTTTCATTGGGATTAAAACCTTTCGGCATTTCCTAATCCCTCCAGAGCTTTAGAAGATAGAAGACAGAAAATATGTAGACATTTATAAATAAAACAAAACGAGTGAAATCAGGTATTCAGGATGTTATAGCTGTGTTACCTTCAACAGGTAGTTCAATATCTTATACATCAACAAATCCAGTGTTGTCGATTCAAGAAATACCAACTAATAGGCAAGAATCTCAGAATTTGACATCAATATCTGTAAGAGGATCACAATCAAATGAATATCCATTATGGGGCCCAGAATTGGAAATTATAAGCCAATAAATTCTTTCTCTGTTCCATCAGGAGTAAAACCAGAGGTAGCAGCATTGTTGGCGAATTGTACACCAGGTAAATTTTTGTATGCATTTTTAGTAGATGATAAAGTATATCCCTTATTTGCGATGAGACAAACAACTATTCGAATCAACTTCTTACAGCTGAGGATGTTACACCAAACTCCAATTTACGTGTCCCTACCACAAAGTATGAAATTAGAAATTTTCTAGGATTAGTGGCTTGAATGGGATTAGTAAAACAGCCATCACTGCCTGAATACTGGAGTACAGAGATGAGCTATTGAGTAATAATTTTGCTTCAAACGTAATGTTGAGAAACTGATTTGAATTGTTATTATGATGATTCATTTCGCTGATAATGCAGCGGCAGATAAAAGCGACAAATTATATAAAATAACACTGTCCCCGAAGAATTTATTTGTATAGACGAAACTCTCCTACCATTTAGAGGGAGACTAGAGTTTGGTCTGGGTCAGGATACACATATAATATCAAAATATGTGCAGGCAAAGAAGACACTATGGTCACTCCTGAAAAAATTGTACTGTACTTAACTGAAGGTTTAGTAAATGAGGGACGAGCACTAATAATTGATAACTGGTACACTAGTTTGCTTCTGACCAAAAAAAATGTTAGACGCCAATACACATGTAATTGGAATTATTCCGAAAAACCGAAAAAATCTGCCTAAAGAAATTAGCCAAATTAAAACGTGGCGAAATGTGTTCAATAGAAAGTGACTGCGGCATTTTAATTATCAATTGGAAAGATAAGAGAAACATTCTTATGCTTTCTATGGAAACGAAATGATAGAAGTGCCATGTAATCAGCAGATAAAACTGAAACCCAATGTTGTAGTGGACCACAACAAAGGTAAAGCAGCAGTAGATTTATCAGATCAATTTGGAGCATATTCAAATCCACTCAGGAAAAGTGTAAAGTGGTTCCGAAAAGTGGGATTTGAACTTATTTTAACCACATCCTTAGTAAATGCGTACATTTTATATAAACTGGTAACAGAAAACACTATCTTTATAAACATTTCAAAAAAGATGTGGTCAAGCACTTAATGAAAGCCCAGGAAACTTTAGACTGTGACTTAAACCTCACCTTGTGAAAACCACGTCATTGAAGTGAAGAAAAAAGGGAATAAACATAGCAGAAGGAAAGTGTGCAATAATTGCTACCAAAAAAGTTCTGAAACACACGGGCGAAAATATGTATATAGAAAAAAATCAATACATATTGTAAAAATTTTGAAAACCAGCCAGATTTTTGCACTTATAAATTGTTTTGGTCAGGTTCAAGCATATTTTTTATGTACGTATGTCATACATTATATGAAGAGTTTCTAAATACATTTTACTAAAAATTGATTTTGTTTTATTTTTATCACTGCCTATCAAATATCTTAGACCACAAGGTACTATTTTCAAATAATTTAATAGGCCATTCTTACAGTATATACCTTCTAGGACACGTGGATCTTTTAGTCTGTGATATTAGACATTATTATGAACCAGCAGCCTAGCAAGCATTAAAAAATGTGTTGGTTCCATTGGACCAGCGCAGCGTGGCGCGTTAAGGCAATACGAGTGTTGGTCCCATGGGACCAACGTGACAGGGAAGTTTTAAAGTACTTATATTATTCAGGCTGAGTTGACTTGGAGGTTGTAGATAATTTAAAAATATCTAGATATTTTCGCCGGCGCTGAGGATCGATCCCCAGCCTTCTCGAAAGTGAAAGTTAGACACTATACCGCCTGAGCTATCTGGCCTTAAATAATTGATATTTCTGACTATGACTGTGGAATCCTACGATTTAATTTAACATTTTAAATCACTGCTCAAGAGCAATCATCTGAAACTAAATAAGGTACCTACATACATTGACAGAAAAAAAAGAGATTCCCGTTCAGTAAATGCTTCTGCACATTTTGATAAATCAGATACATTGACTTTTTCTTTTTCTATATTTCTGTATTTTATATTATAAAAATTGTTGTAGTTTTGTGGCGATACCATAGCAGGAGTAAGTCTTTTAAGCGATAGCATTATGAGGTTGGTACATGATAAAAAGAAGAACTTATATGCTGACGTATTCCTGAAGAGGCGATCATTGTATATAATGAAGAACTGTGCCCGTTATGACTACACACATGAAATTTTAAGTAACGAAAACAGTGTTTTTAAGGGTGAGAAAGTATTAAAAGATAGAAGAATATCTGTGATATGTAGAAATGAACCAGATACGAAAAATAAATAGTTAATGTTGAATTTGTTTTATTTGATCATTAATCTGTTGTTATAATTAATATCAAAAAAATGTTCGAGGCATTTTCAATTTTACATTATGAGATATTCAAAAATTCGTTTTGCCTGAGAATCATGCTCGATAGACATGGTATTATATAAAGTGATTTTAGGACAAACATAAATATGAATTTTTAAAGAAAGTTTATAGCAGGGGAGAAAAGAAAATGTCGAGTCGTTAATAAAAGAAATCAATAAATATACCTAAAGTAAGTAAAAACAAAAAATAAGAACATTTTTATTAAAATTCGATATTATAAAATAACGATGGAAGGTATTTCATGGAAATATAAAAGAACAATAAAACAAACGTTTGTCAAAACCATACAAATGGCGCAGGTTGGAAATTTAAAAATTGAAACTATGTAGGAAAAGCATAAGAGGAAAGTATAAAAAATTTATATAAAAAAAGGGATGGTATGTTTGTTTTTCCTATAATAAATAACATATTCAATAACATTTCAGAGATCAAATTGAATAGCTCCGCCGAACAACGTTGCAAGTGTCAAAATAAAAATATTTTAGGAAACACAAAAACGGATAAATGGTGAATAATGCTTTAGCATAAATATAGGTTGTAGTTCATTTCTTCCAAAATAATGTTATGTTTCAGTACCAACTCTTGTACGTTTTCATTTAGTTAAAATATCTTTTTAAACGATTTTTCAGACAGAACAACGTTGCATTTGGCGGTGCTTGGAAATTTGTTTATTTACCATGTATATATTGTTAGGTTAACTATAAAGGTATTGGTTTAATACGAAACGTTTGTTTACACTTGATATAATGGACTGTACTATTCTAATCACAATCATTTCATTGAAACTTAACTTGAAAGCTTTCTAATTCTAATGAAATAGAAAGCATTATAAACAACTTAAAGAATAAGAAGTCTCCGGAAATTGACATAATCACCTCTCAAACAGTAATAAATATAAATGCACAAATCAAAAAACCATTAGTTTATAAATACATTTAATATTTGAAACAGGGGAGTCTCCGGATAAATTTAAACAAACTGTTATAACTCCTATTTTTGAAAAGGGTAATAAACGTAGTTTATCTAACTATAGGTCTATTTCACTAATAACTACTCTAGCAAAAATATTTAAGGTCACTTAAAACCCGACTAACTACTTTTTTCAACAAAAATAACATTATATCATCTTCACAATTTGGTTTTCTGGGAGGTATTTCTACAAGTGATGCAATTACAGAACTTGTTAATAATATATATGATAGAGTTGACAAAAATAAACTTACTGCCTGTGTATTTCTAGACTTAGCGAAGGCATTTGATAGGGTCAGCCATCCGCAACTGCTAGAAGGATTGGAAGCGTGCTGTATACGCGGAATTTTACATACCTAAGATAATTTAACGTTATTTATACAAATACCAACAAATTGTGAAGGTAAATAACACTTATAGTAATCAGCTCATTCTATAATGTGGTGTACCCCAAGGAACAGTTTTAGGTCCACTATTATCGTACATGTAAATGACATATATTATTATCATAAACACCGAAGGAAAAATAATCAGTTTCGCCGATGACACTGTTATTTTGTATAGTCTAGACACATGGAAATATTTAAAAAATAAAATTGAAGTTGATATGTTTAACATAGTTCAATGGTTCAATTATATGGTGTCACTTCGGTGGTATAAAATAAACCGAAAAATACCAAAGACTAACGAAACGAAGCCAACGTCAAAAAAACATCCATCTGTGTCTGCTGTTACTGGAAAATCAACCAAGCCACAAAAGTCATCCACTACATCAAATCCTTCGTCTGAAGAAAAGAAAAAAAGGAAAACCAGGTCAAACGAACAACATTAATTAAGTGTAATGTTAATCGTGCGGTAAAAATTTGTGTGTGCTAGTTAAAAAAAAATGGATATCTATGTTAGAGACTACGAAGAAGAAAAAGTGGACACAAAATGTGTAAGTAGTGATAGTTTTAATAAGGATTACTCAGTGACAATAAAAAATGACTTAAAAATAATTCATTGTAATATTAGCAGTATAGGTAAGAATTTTGATAATTTTTGTTTGTTTTTATCAACTCTAAATGTCAACTTTGATATTTTAGTTCTCACGGAGACACACATTCAAGATGATATTGATAAAACCCCATTTTTGTTAAAAAATTACGATTTATTATACAATTATGGCGATTTAAACAAAAATGATGGAGTTATTATTTACATTAAATCTTCTATAAAATATGAATATTCAGTTGTACCATTGGGGAACATCAAGTTACTTGAAGTCATTTTAAATTATAATAAAACAAAAATCTGTTTGAGCGCTATCTATAAATCACCGATAGTAAACATAAACAATTTTAATCAGGATTTGCATCAATACCTCATAAGTAAAAAACGAATGTGTTTTCATATATTAGTTGGTGATATCAATATTAATTTGTTTGAGGATCTAGATCACACTGAAGAATACCAGAATATTCTAGCTTCACAAAATTTTTTGTCTTATATAAATAAAACAACTAGACCTAGAAGTCAAACTTGTATAGACCATTTCTTTATAAAAAGACCTGCTGATTACACTAACATAACTTCATTTATATTTGAAAATAATACTACTTCAGATCATTATCCAATCGCAGTTTCCATTCCTAATCTAACCAAAACCAAAGAAAACAAAATAATAATAAAGAAGTACATCAACTACAAAAATCTAAAAAACAATTTGAAGCAGGAAAAGTGGTTGGATATTTACAATAAAACAAATAAAAATGAAGCGGTAAAACTTTTCATTGACAAAATTTTAAATTTAATAAACAAAAATACAATTATTTTAAAAGGAAATGATCTAAAAACCACTTTTAAAAAAGATTGGATGACAGGGGGACTTTTAAAGTCTGTACAGGAAAAACACAGATTGTATGATCAGCTAATCCAAGATCCCTCAGATAACTTAAAAAAACAACGATATACAGAATATAAAAATAAATTAAGACACTTAGTTAAAACTGCAAAAAGAAATTATACAAAACAACGAATTGAAAAAAATAAGACCTCTTCTTCATCACTTTGGAATGTAATTAATTCATTGTGTGGAAAAATAAAAGGAAATACAAAAATTGAATCGATTAAAACCAAAACAGGAGAAAAAATAATTGACAGAAAAGAAATTGCAAATGAATTTAATACACATTACAGTACATTGGGACAAAGGTATGCACAAAAAATACCCATTTGTAATGAACAGATTGAGGACATAGATAGGATAGAAAGCAGCATGTACTTGTATCTCGTTGACCAAAAAGAAGTGGTAAATGCAATACAATCTTTAAAACACAAAAAATCTCCTGGCTGGGATGGGATTAAGACAGAAACCATCAAACAAATTAAGGAAGAAATTATTACTCCTTTAACTTTTCTCATTAATGCATGTTTTCAGGATGGTTGTTTTCCGGAATGTCTAAAAATGGCAAAATCAAACCTCTGTTTAAAAAAGGAAATAAAGAAGACGTGATTAATTACAGACCAGTATCTTTGTTCAAGTAGTCAGTTCAGTGTCAAGTATGGTCTGAGAGGACGCGTTTTAACATTACTAAAAAGTTACTTAACAGACAGAAAACAATTTGTAGAAATTGATGGTGTAGAAAGTGATCCTGAAGTAATTAATTATGGCGTATCGCAAGGGACCGTTTTAGGCCCTCTACTCTTTACACTATATGTTAATGACATGCTTAAACTAAAAACTGATGGAAACATAATAAGCTTTGCTGATGACACCGCAATTTTTTATAAGGCCGAAAATTGGGAAGATCTTAAGACTATAGTTGAACAAGATTTCAAAGTTATAAAAACATGGTTGCAAATAAATAAACTCACAATAAATTACGAAAAAACTAAATATATACCTTTTGCAATATATAAAAATTCTCTGCCAACTTTTAACTCATTAAAAATAAATAAAAAACAATAAATATTTAAAGCAGAATACATAAAATATTAACGGTTTTAATTGACAGGCACCTTAAATGGGACTTACAAATAAAAAATCTTATAAGAAAAATAAGAGGACTGTTACCAAAATTCCGCTATTTAAAAGAGTTTTTAGATGTTGAACAGCTTAAAATGCTTTACCTGTCTTTAGTACAATCTCATCTTGTATATGGAATTTTAGGATGGGGTGGCGTAGCTGATTGCCATCTGGTGACCCTTCAAAATACTCAGAAATGGTTTCTTAAACTAATATATGGAATATATGGAAAACGAAAAACATATCCCTCAGACCAACTTTTTCATGAAACTCAGTTTCTTGATGTTCGGCAATTGTACTGCTTAGAGCTACTTAAAAATATTCATAAAGATAAAATACCTCTTAAAGTAAAAGTGTCAAATTATGAAACAAGAAGAAAATTGAATGTTGAATGTCTTCATACTTCAAAAACAATCACGCAACGGTCAATTAAATATTTTGCTCCAAGAATATACAATCAATTGCCCATAAATTTTAAAAATATCAAAAATTTTTATTTGTATAAAAAATTAGTTAATGCTTGGGTAAAAGAAAAAAGGGAGTTGTGTAACAATTTAATAAATTTAAATTATACTAGATAAAAAAAAAACGAAACAAATTAGATTAGATTAGAAACTGTAAAAATGAAATAATAATTTGTAAAAACAACATTAAACCTGTTAATATTAGACATCTTAAGTCAACAAGCATGTTAATGCTTTAAAGACTTTTTTTTACGTTTATGTTACTGTAAGTAAACTGAAATTGAAATTGTAAATTAATGTAATACTTATGGATTTGAATAAACGTATATTACTATTATTATAAAGGATTATAAACATTTGTTATTCCCTTTGTAGTAACAACGTATCACTACCCTTATTTAATCATATACTGACCGGTAAAAAAAGTTGCCACCCCATAAATTTTCAAAAATAAAAATTTAGTAGAAGTTTTGTGCACTGTTTCATATTGTATTCTCAACATCTTTTATTTTTAAAACAAAAAATGGCCATTACTGTTTGATTTATATCAAAACTAATTACAAACAATTAAAATTACGAGTGAACTTAAACGAAATTATCTAATATCGGGTATTATGCCATAAAAATAACCGTTTGCATACGATTTGGAAGGGCAAGGAAAAAATTTTGAATAAAAACTCAAGTTATATGTTCATATTCTTCGTTGAAGCATGTTTTGAAGTTCTGCAAGACTTTCTGGCTGGCGTGGTTGACTTATAACCCTACAATGAAGTTTATCTCAAATATGTTCGATGATATTTAGATCGGGGCTCCAGGCTGGCCTTTCTAAAGTCTTAATTCCAACTTTATTCACGTAGTATGTTAAGATTCTTGCAGTATGCGGCCGTGCATTATCATGAATAAAGATGAAATTGTCCCCATTAAAACAACCAAATGAAACTACTGCCAAAACATCCTTTATATACCAGTGAGAATTCATGGGTCAGTAATGAAAATAAGTTCAGTTCGAGCTTCAAGTGAGATTCCAGCTCAAACCCTGACATCGCCACCGCCAAATTTTCTTCTCTTTCAAGCTTGAGCATATCTTTCATTTCTCCATCTTCAAACCCTCTCTCGGCCATTGCCAGACTTCAAACAGAACCACGAATCATCAGTAAAGAGAATTCAGCTCCAATCCTGTATATCCCAGTGTTGATGTTGCCGAGAAAAAATTAATCGATTCCTACAGTGTCTGGGTTGTAATTCGGGAATAATAGTCTTAATTCCAACTTTCCCCAAGTAATATGTCAAGCGTCTTGCAGTATGCGGCCGTGCATTATCATTTTAATTAATCAACCAGCTAGAAAATGATGCTAATTTTATAAACACTTCTTATAAATAATCTTAATTATATATATATATATATATATATATATATATATATATATATATATTATATATATATATATATATATTAATAATAAATTTTATAAATAATCTATGAGTAGTAAAGGTATTTATAAAATTTTATAAATACCTTTACTACTCATAGATCATATTGAACCCCAATTGAATAATAATAATAAAATTGGAGTTAAACAAGAAGAATAATTCAAATGACTTCTCTAATCAGATTCCTTTCATGAATAATAATTTTCCCAAACCATCTTCCTCTGATGCATCATCTTCACTCCAAAATTTTGAATTCTCTGCTTTAATGAATTACAATAATGAAAGTGTTTTTGAATATGAAATAGAAACACAATATACTACTGCAGTATGTAGCTCAGAAAATGACTTTGATGCAATAAATGAACTGAATTATAATAATGAAAGTGTTATTGGAAATGAAATAGAAACACAAGATACTACTGTGTTATGTAGCTCAGACTATGTAGAAGACGACTTTGATGCAGTAAATGAACTAAATTATAATAACGAAAGTGTTATTATTGAAAATGAAATAGAAACTCATAATACTACTGCCACATGTAGCTCAGAAAATGGTTTTGAATAATAAATAAACCAGGCAGTAGTAGATCTGCTGAAAGATCCCAGTCCAATTTCAGTGATGCATATAACGAAGGATTCGGTCTGGTGAACTATTCAGACAATTCTGATTCTGACAATCAATCTGCAAATTTGGGGTCAGTAAAAAGAAAAAGATGCCAAGTGGATAAATCTACCTGGGTTTATGAAGAAAATAGAAATAATAGAGAAACTGATAGAGAAACATATTTTGGAAGAAAGGACGATAATAACATTTGGAATAATAAAGTTCTGAGACCTCCTAGGACATTAAAGACAAGATGTAAATGTAAGGAACGAGGCAAAGATTGTAAAATTAGATGTTCTTTGATTACAGAAGACGACAGACAAAATATCTTTAGTACTTTTTGGGAAAAAATTACTTGGGGAGAGAAAATAATTTATATAGACGCGTTAGTACAAATAGTAAAAACTCGACGTCACAGAGACAGAAAAAATGAATCTGTAACAAGAAGAAAGTGTTCTGTTAAATATGATTTAAGAAAAGGTCAGAAGTTTATGAGAAAAGAGTATGCAAAACAATGTTTTTAAACACATTGTGCATTGGGAAATGGTGTGTTTTAAACTGGAAGGAGACAAGACAAACATAAACTGTTCATAAAAGAGAATATGAAGAGGAAGTAAAAGTATCCCACCAATTGAATCTAAAAAACCAAGAAATCTAATTCTTTTGAATTGGAAAATAAATCAATGAATGAATTTCTCGATAATTTACCTACTACGGAATCACATTATTGTAAGGCATCGACAGGCAAAAAGTACAACAAACCTGATTGGTCAACTAAAAAGGTCCTTTACGATATTTATGTAAACAATTGGTGCAAGAAAAGATATTGCCACAAAAAAATAGATAATAAAGTTACGACAAAACTTTGGAATGAACTACCAGGATTATATGCAACCCGACGTAAAATAAAAAAAAGAAGAAGTTCGAGGATTTACAAGAATTAAAAAAATAAATTCCTTTCGATTATTACGAGTACTATGATAATATTCCATTTGAAAATTAATCATTATTTTTCTTTGTCAATTATTAGTTTTATGCATTAGATTTTAGAAAAAACTGTTTTGTTTCACTAGTTTCTAGTTGGTCATAATTGTGCAGGATTAAAATAAAAACTGTCTAACTCCCAAAAAAATGCTTTCTTTTTAAGTAAAACACTCCTGATTATTTTTATAACAGCCAAAATGTTAAAAAGTATGGTATAATTCTATTATGGTATGGTATGGTATTAAGTTTTCAATTGTAACATTATTATTATTTATATTTGTGAGATCTCTAATGTCACTCTGCACCCTCCAACCAGTTTTTATTTTCTCCTGTAAAATTTAGAGAACAAGTTTTCAAATCGAATGGTATGTTAGTATTAACAAAAAAGTGGTACCTATAAGTTTATAGTAAAAGTAGAAGAAAAGCGCTGTTCTTTAGATATTTTTGATGTGTGCATTTTCGTTGCAGACATATGCATGGCATGTGTGGTGACATGCCATACATGCACACATTTAAACCAGTATCTGAAGCCAACAGCCACGCCAACTACGTTCAAAAAGTGATCCAATTGCACGAAGCCAAAAAATATGCAACAATAATGCCATAAATATCATTTTCAAAGTTTTGTACGGATTTGGGTAGGATTTGCTTTGTTTTATTAGTATTAAAATTTAATTCTTTCTTAATGTACAATGAATATGATTAGTTAATATCCTGTTTTATTTGTCCCAGTCAAACTCATTTTTCAAATTTGCATTTAAGATAAGACGAACTAACCCTGAGAGTTACACCTTAAACAATTGGTTCCGACGGTAGTTGAAGTTTTGTTGTTACACATTGGCTCTCAACTTTCTGAGGGTGGTTTCACGTGGTATATGAAAAAAAATCCTTCAGTGTGTTAACTAATTCATTTTTGGATTAAGGGGCGTTTAAAAGATTTACCTGTCACAAAATTACTTATCAAGGAAAATGTATATTTTTTAGTTTTGATGCTTTATGGCTCATCTCATACCGGTTTTCTAAATCTATTAGTGCTAAATGTATAAAGTTACACACAGAAAGAAAGCCAGTCACGACTACAAACTACATGTAAATACTTGATTAAAATAAATTATATTTTATGTATTTTACTATATATTAAGGATACTTTTAGTAACCCAAGGACCTTAAGCAAAGACCAAGAGAAATAACTAAAAAGGACAAATAATACAACAAGTAGGTCTTAATATTTTTATTGTTATAAATATAGGTAGAATTATCTAAATATTTAATAGATATGAAATAGCTATTGTTTATTACACATTATTATCTAGTATGTTAAAGATTGAGAGCGTTATTGATCCAGTCCAAATATTTAGCTATATCAGTAAATACTACGTAATGCGAGGAATCACATCGGAATTGATTTTGTAACGCCACGCTTATGGACACCATTCCTCTTATCTCCCAAATGGGGTTGTTTGGATCTGAACCTCTCTTTGGGAACACCATTCCGCCGCCAGAGTCACCATTGCATACTGAGGTACCTAGAGGATAAATACATTTATCATATATTATGCACAGAAAGCAAAACAAAAATCGGCCACATCAGAAAATTCATTGAACTTAATTCAAAATGTCTAAATTTTTTAAGCCAAATGAAAAAGAGTAACACAACATATGTTCATATTTTTCGCGTTTCTGCAGATAGGAAAAATATTGCCATGGCACATCAAGAAGAAGTAACTGTTATTCGAGCTTTATCTGTTAATCATTTTGATACAACTGATGTTTATGATCTTGTCTAATTTAAAAGTAATTTTACAGTACAGCTCACCAGATGGAACACAACTTCTATTGAATACAGAAACAAATATGGAGAATGATCAAAGGACAACGAAAAGAGATGAACGAACTTATCAAAACAAAACACATTCACAGGGAAATATAGGCAGACTACTTTTAATCTCTATTTGCTAAAGGTAATGATAATGAACAACCAACACCAAAGGGAAAACAAAGAAATAAATATTAAGGAAAAAGAGGTAAAGGAAGCATTAAGTAAAATTAAAAACAGCAAATCACCAGGAGAGGACATAATACCGAACGAACTCCTAAAGTACGAAGTACCAGATCTGACCAAACAAAAAAAAAATAATAGAACAAAACCGAATTCCTTAAAAATGGAGATCCGGCATCCTAATACTTCTCTTCAAAAATGGCGACAAATCGGATGCGGAAAATTATAGAGGAATTAATGTATTAAACATTAAATTTTACAAACAAAGTGTTAATAGATAAACTAAATGAAATTATTACACTAGCAGAAGAACAACAAGATTTTAGGTCGGGAAGATCATTGTAACTGGATTTAATTAAGCATCCAGAAACCAGATATAAGTAACCTAATTCAGTTTAAAAATTTAAAATCCTTTTAATAATATTAATCATTGCTTATTGTTCAATGCGATTGTTTGTTTATGACATTGAAAATATCGGTGTCACTAGAACAGGCTTACCGAGACGCTGACTAGTGAAATTGGCAATGTAATTAAAAGCTTATTTAATATTGTGTAAAAATTATATTAGTAAAATATGAATGCATAAACAACTGCACGTAAAACCTGGAAAATAACGGGAGTAGATCATTAAGAATTAAGAGTTAACAGTCGAAGCTAGTGTTGTGATCCGTCAACTGGGTACTCTCTCTATTATTGTACTTAGAGAACCAATAAAGTAATTGTGAGTATCCAGTGAGTTCGAGTTAATTAACCCCATCCAGGGTGTAAACTACTCCTAGAGTTGGACTATATGGAACTTATATGGAACTGATGAAAGCAATCTAATAAATAAATATGATTATCCAACATTATTATACCAACGCTATGCTTATAATGCAGCAAGTGCATTATAGTACAACAAACCAGCATATCTATGTTTCGTAGACCTTAAGAATGTATTTGACCGTTAAAGGTCGTTATCCACTTATTGTACGCAAGGGAGATACCTTTAGGAATAATCAAAACGACCGCAATATATACCAAAACCACACAGTAAAAGAAGAACAACTAAATGACCCTATTGAAGCTGTCAATGGGATAAGACAGAAAGACTGCCTGAGTCCTTTATTGTTCAACCTGATTATTGCTGAAATAATAAAAAAAGTAAGAACTAAAAAAGTATACCAAATAGGAGAAAAATAACTTAAAATAATCTGCTATGCAGACGACGCAATATTACTCTCTCAAAGTGATAATCATTTACAACGTAAGCTGCACCAACTCAATAAAACCGCCAGAAAATTTAAAATGTTTATTTCCCCATGAAAGACAAAATGCATGATTATAACAGCAAAAATTTACTAAGATGTAAATAGGAGCTAGAAGGACAGATAATAAAACAAGTGATGGTATAAACTTCAGGCTAATCAATGATGATTGACCATAGGCCTGATTGTACCATTTATTATAAAAATACATGAAAACTTCAATTAAATAAGGAGACGTGTTTACCCTTTTATTGCTGCATGACAAGAGAGAGAAATTACAATATGACAGCCGTTACATCAATCATAACAATCTACCAACTCATAAGTACCTAAACTTAACAAAATAAAATTTATGTCTAAACAGTGATGAAGTTTAAATATCTAGGCATTACAGTATCTAGCTACAGAAAGCTCGAAACAAAAGTGAAAGATCAAGTAAATAGAATAAATAGATTCGCAGGTTGCCTGAATGAAACAAAATGGAGAAATAAAAATATCGGGATAGAAATGAAAGGCAGAATTTACAAACAGTCAACAGATCAATAATGACATAGGTACGCGGCAGAAACCCAGCCTGACACAGAGAAGACAAAAAAGATGTTAGATACAGCAGAGATAAAGACAGTTAGAAAAATGTATGGCAAACATCATGGGAGGGAGCTAGAAGTATAGATGCAAGATGGAGAACATCAAGGACTGGACAAGGAATAGAAGAGTAGAATGGAACGATCATATAAACCGAATGACAACAAATAGAGGAGTAAAGACGGCAAGAGACGGTTCCTTAAAAGGAAGACAATCAGTAGGAAGACCACGAAAACGATGAAATGACAACTTACTGGAGGCACATTAAAAAACAGACAGAGTCATGTTTACATAAAAAGAAGAAAAAGCTCTCCGATTGTAACATGGTCGGTAATAAACTCCTCTCGTAAGTTGGGCGTATACTGCATTGACCTATAATGTAGATATTTCTAATTTAGAATATCGTTGAAACAGGGACGAACGAATAAGTGACTAAGTAAGCAGAAAAAATAAACTATTTTTATTGAAAAAACATGGATTCATGGTTCCGACATTTAGTTGTTGCACATTACGGATTCGGCAAGGGGAGTTCCGATTGAAGAAGTGTTATAGCAACTACTATACATACTAATATGTACATACATAAGGAAATATTGTTAGAAGATCGATAGAAATGAGAAAACATTTATGTCTGAAAAATCTGCATGACTGGTTTAATGCAACTAATAACTATAGTGTGGACGATTGTCAACTTTTAGAACAAAAAAATGAGTAAAATAGTAGAGTATTTTATAGTTTAAAAACATAAAACAATCTGATACATGTCAGCATTAACATTATCGAGTAAAAGTAATTATATGCAAAATTGATAATATTATAAAACCAGATTAAGCTGAACATTAGGAAAATATTAATTTTAAGTACCAAAAGCCAAAAAAAAGGAGTAGAGCGAATTGGTAGCTACCTGCAGTCTGATCGTTCCAGTCCCCTTGTGAATACTGGTATCGAAACAATTTGATCAGAAAATTAACGTAACTTGAGTAAGCACCCCTGTTTATTGCATAATTTTCATTTACGGGAGTCTTACCATTGTTAAAGCCTGCGCAGTAAGTATGGTCAGAAGTAAATCTGGAATAGAACTCTGGAAACGAGTATATGCAGGTTTCTTGCGACACCACAGGCATGTGAGCTTTCGTTAGTTGCTCAGTGACCCTGCCGCTCTCATCAAATCCCCAACCGACGACAGTACCTAAAAATTAATAAACACAAGCTCTATTAGTCATACATAAAAAGTATTTATACTGCGATAGATATTCCCTTTGCAATGAAACGAAATATGTTTGCAATGGGATCTCTTTTTAAGGGATTTGTTCCCCAACCCCTAGATACAAACTGATAGTATGTGTGTGTTATATCAAAAACTACTAATTTTAGGGCAATAATGATACATATTGTTGTTCATAGAATTTTAAACATACTTGTATTACTAGATTTATAATTAGTTTTAGATTATATTTAATAACATTCAGTTGAAAGGTCTCATTATTTGTCAATATTATCATTTGCATCAGTGGTATGATGGCCAAATGTAAATCAACAAAGTGCCATCATCCAATTAAGTTAATGGTAAATATTTGCTTGCCGTGGAATTACAGGGACTCTACATGGAACATTTACAGCGGTTATGGATGCCATACTGTATCTCGATTAAACAATTCGAATTTAATTAAAATTTCGAATTGTTTATAATACCCTGTGTCCGATTCTTCTCGATCAGCGATGATAAAATAAAATGTTCGACTAAAGTTGTGGAGTAAAATATCATTTTATTGACAGCTACTGAAATGTCACACTATAGTTGATGTTGAGGTAAAAATTTATAATAGACTGTGTCCTAAACTAGTCCCGAAGCTATATTTATAATCTCACTAAAATGCTACGATTCATCAAATAAGTCTATTGCCCTCTGCATAGAACAAAAACTTTTGACTTTTGAAATCTGGAAAATCTAATTTGAACCGAGGAAACGGTTGCAAGCATTTCCTATACCTGTTAGGCAATTTATAGTTTGCAGAAAGTTGAACAAACTATAATTAAGCTACTAATCGATATGTTTTACAATTATACACAGTAAAACTATAAATTAAGAAATTAAGATTAATGTGAGATTACAAATTAATGGACTAATTTGTGATTTAATATATTGGCCACTTTATAAGGACCAGACGACCAATAGAAAATGTGTAAATACATAAAATATAATATTAATAGTTTAAAACAATCACACACTTCATAACATCATAATACTAATTTACTCGGTTGATCAATTATTATCTCACTCGAGCAGTGCTACCTATCACTTGAATATTTAGAATTTATGATTCAGTTATACTGTCTAATTCAAATCTAAGTTGATTAAGTGAAATTGATCTAGGTGGGACTGTGCCGAAAGTTTTACGTAAATTTGGTTGTGATATCTTATGTTTTCGAAGCGATGGATGAGGTTGGATACAGGAACCTTGATGCCTTTGTTTTTTTGGATTTCTTGGCATTCCAAAAATATCTGACTACCTTCTATATAACAATGACAATCAATATAATAATGAGTATAGTTCCTGATCCTGTGGTTAAATGAGGAATGTTGAAAAAAATTTATAATAAACCGCGTCTCTAACTAGTCCCGAAGCGATTGCGATTCTTGTAATCTCACTAAAATGCTACAATTCATCAAAATAGTATATTGCCCGTTACATAGAACAAAAAATTTGACTTTTGAAAGATGGCAAATATAATTTTAACCGAGGAAATAATTGCAAGCGTTTCCTCAATACCTGTTAGACAATCTATAGTTTGCAGGAAGTTGAACAAACTGTACACGGCTAACTACTCCGAAATAAGTTTCACTTCTTATTATGATAGGATCTTCTCATTACAACTTCAGTCCAAGAAAGATATAGTGAATTTTCTTTAAGTTTATGCTCTGATGGCAGATAAAGATGAAGACGAGTCGAACTATACTACCATGATTTGGAACAAATCTTAAAGTCCATGAAGATACATCACACTACAATAGTAATGCCCAAGAACTGAATGAGGCCAAATAATTAAATAGGAGTAACTATAATATTGATCAGAAATGGGAGGGTATAAAACAAAAAATAATTAAAACAACACATAAAAACTTAAAAGCAAAGGAAAGAAAACATAAAGACTGGATGACTGAGGAGATACTATTATTAATGAATAAAAGAAAATCATTTAAAACAAAAAATCCAATTAAACGTAATGAAACCAATCGACTAATTAACAAGAAAATAAAAGAAGCTAAAGAGAGAATGTTACATGAACAATATCAGGAACTGTAAGAAATTGAAAAAATATATATATGACTTTTTTAACACGTATAAAAGAATTAGAGAACTAACAGGAATGAAAAAACACTTCAAACTGGACAACTAAGAGATAAAAATGATGCCCTTATAACATATATAAACCAGAAAATGCAGAGATAAACACAATAGATAGCACAGATTTTTTAAGACAAAGACAGAACAATCAAAAGAATTTAAAGATAATACTGGACCTGATATAATACGAGAAGAAATTGAATATGCAATGAAGTAAGCTAAAAGTGGTAACTATCCCGGGCACGATGAAGTTCCCATCGAATTACTCAAAATTGTGGATACTGAATCTATTGATCTTCTTTTGAATCTATTTAACACCATATATAGAACAGGTGTAATACCTAAAGTATGGGTCCAATCTACATTTATACTTTCCCAAAAAATCCAATGCAAAGGAGTGCAATGAACATTGTGCCATAGCCTTAATGAGTCATGTCTTGAAACTGTTATGGAGGCATAAGTAATGGACATACAGGATTTAAGAGGAAAGGTCTGGGAACACGGAATTTCCTGTTTGCAGTGAGAGTGTTCTTTCGCAGCGATGCCTAGATATGTTTGTTCCATTGATTTTGAGAAGGCATTTGAGTGCAGCAAGTTGGCTCAAAGGTGAACTCTGACTCAGATCACTATCTTGTAGGGGCAAAATTACGGCAGAAAATAGCGACAGTAGCAAAAGGGAAAAATATTCAAATCAAAAAATGGAATGTCGAAGGATTCAAAAGCGCAACAAAGAGACAAGATTACAGAAATGCTCTCCAAATAAAACTCAACAAAACTAGAGAGGAAGATACTGCATATGAGGAATGGAGACAATTAAAAACAATTATAACGGAGTCAGCAGAGGAAACTGTCGGAAAAGCCAAAAGGCAAAGAAATACGGAATGGTATGATGATGAATGCAGAACTGCAGTAGAGGAAAAAAGGCAAGCTAGGCTTAACCAACTTCAAAGAAACACAAGAAATAGCAGTGAGATTTATAACGAAAAAAGAACACAAGCGACTAGAATATGCAGAAGAAAGAAAAGAGAGGCTATGAAAAAAACAAGTACAAGAAATCGTAAAGCATAACAACAGACGCGAAAGCAGAAAATTCTATAAATGCATAAAAGAAAGCACACAGTCATTTAGACCAAAACTAACGATATGCAAAGACAAGGACGGAGAACTACTAACAGAGAAGCAAAAAATTATAATGAGATGGAAACAATATTTCGAAGAAAATCTAAATGCAGACAACGAAAATGATCAGAACGAGACAATATATTATACGGCGGAGCTGCACATCGAAAATCTGAGTTATGAAGAAGTAGTTCAGATAATAAATAAACTAAAAAACAATAAAGCACCAGGAACGGACGGAATTTCGGCAGAATTATTAAAACATGGAGCATCCTAACTGTGGGAAAGAATCCATTACCTAATAACATTAATATGGACGAAGGAGCAAATGCCAGAGGAATGGACAGTTGGCCTCATACAGCCAATATATAAAAAAGGAGATAAGAGGGAATACCAGAATTACAGGCCAATTACATTGCTAAATGTAATATACAAAATTCTTTCTGGTATAATCTACAATAGATTATTAGAATACTCCGAAAATATAATTGGTGATTATCAAAATGGATTCAGACCAAATAGAGCCACTACAGATATCATATTCATACTAAGAACGATACAAGAAAAAGCTTATGAATACGACATAGACCTATATAATATGTATATAGACTTTAAACAAGCTTTTGATAGTGTGAAAAAAAAAACAGAATGCTGGAAGACCTTTGTAATCTAGGTATACCTAAGAAATACATCAGCCTCATAAAAATGACGTTGCAGGGTTCAAAAGCCGCAGTCAGAGTAGATGGAGAACTGACTCCCCTGTTTAACATCAACATGGGAGTAAGACAGGGAGATGCCTTATCAACCATGCTATTCAACCTAGTTCTTGAGGCAGTCATCAGAAAAACCAATATAACCGGCCATATAAACACCAAATCAGTACAAATTACTGCATATGCAGACGATGTAGCCATCATTAAGTAGGAATAAGCCACGACTAATGGAAGTGTTCAAACAAATTGACCCTAAAGCAAGAATATAAACGAAGCAAAAACGAAGTATATGACAGTCAAAAGAATAACTAACAATGAAAATAATATCACAATAGACAACTATACTATCGAACGAGTAGATGCCTTTACATATCTCGACACAGAAATCAATCAGAAGAACTCCATAAGTAGCGAAATTAATGCACGTATTTCCAGCAGGAATCGTACATACTATGCTAATAAAAGATTGATGACATCGAAATTATTAGACAAAAGAACCAAAATGACTATCTACAGAACATTGATTAGACCCGTAGTAACCTATGGATGTGAAACTTGGGTAATGACGAAAAAAGATGAAGCCCAACTCAGGACATTCGAGAGAAAAATACTGAGGAAAGTATGTGGCCCGGTACAAGAGGAAGATGGCACATGGAGAATCAGGAGAAACGACGAGGTTAATGAGTTAAATGAAGGTTATGACATTGTAAGATTTGTGAAAAGTCAAAGACTGTCATTGCTGGGACATGTGCAGAGACAAAACGATGCAAAAACAACAAAGAAAATGTTACAATGGAAGCCCATAGGAAGGTGAAAAAAAGGAAGGCCCAGAACGAGATGGTTGGATGACGTGGAAGACGACCTGAAAACAATGGAGAAGAAGGGCACAAGAGAGATCTGAATGGAAGGACATAGCCAGACAGGCAAAGACCCATCCAGGATTATGATGTCAAAAGAAGAAGAAGAATAGTTGGCTCAAAGACATTTTGTTAAATAAAACCGTAGACAGTAGAGACAATAGAAATATTAAATGAATATATGGACTAAAAATAAAGTTCATGGTATTTACAAAAGCACAAAAGAAAACATTAAAATGAAGCTAGTACTAGACAACAGAAATCTACTAAATATCTTCATACAAATAACTTGGAGCATAGAACACAGAAGATAATGATCAAACAAAAGAAATAAGATGCCTGCCGCATTGAAATTGCACGTTCAACTTTTAACAGAATGAAGAAACTTTTATGTAATAGCAATATAACGATATATATCAATATAACGGTCTGGATATGAATGCTTTGATGTTATATTTTCTCCACCCTTTTCTATGGGGTTAAGGCTTAGACACTAAAACAGTCCAATATTAAAATCCTAGAAATATTCGAAATGTGGTGCTATCGGCGTATTCATCGCAAAACAAACGAATAAGTTCTTAAGCAACTAGGAAAACAATGCGAAGTTTTAAAGTTTTAAATTCCATAAAAATCAGGAAGTTGTAATACTTGGGGCACATCATGAGAGGTGAAAAATACGAACTATTAAGGAATATTTATAATGCAAGGCAAAATATCGTGGCAACGCAATCTCCGTGAGTAGTGTGAATACAGTTCAATTGAAGTATTCAGGTCCGTAACCAACAAAATTATAATTGCCAGATATTTTCAATCTCTGATAGGAGCGGAACTTATATAAATATAATATCCCATATAAATATAGTATTTAAGTTATTATAAACAAAATTGTGAAGCCACATGGATGAAGATTACTGACCATACGGTATCCAGGTGTAGGCTCAAAATACTTTTTTAGTTGAACATTCGCCCACGAGTGAAATTAAGCAGAGAGAACATATCGTTCTCGACCTTACTGGTGCCTTATCTGAACTCAGCATAACTACCACTGGAAAAATATACCCAGTCAAGCACATGGCAAAATGTATGTTGGAAGGACATGTGTTCTAAATAGGGCTAAAATATTGCGGAAAATAGGTAGAAACAGACTTTATTACCAGACTTACGCCATTCACAATGAAGCTGTTTCATAGAGAAGCTGCAGACTCTATGGTATACAATAGAATCTGAACTAGTCTACCATATCTTGCGCGCCTGAGACGCATTCGGTCATAGGTCGCAAGCACTTTTGTCGACTACCACGTGACCTCACAAACAAATGCTACCCAACCACTAGTACTGAATAAGTTGCTACAGGGTTATATAATTCTGAAATTGGTATCATAAATAAATGGTAGATGGACAATAATCCAATTGGCTGCAGTACGATCAACGTACAATAGATGGCTTTCAGTAAGAAATCAAATAAACGATGAATTTCTTCAGCCGGTACATTGCGTCCAGAGAACACGCATAGCATACTTACAGAAGCAAGTGCGCTGTAGTAGTGGTCCCCAAAAATCGCACAAATGTAGTCCACCCTATTGTAGACTATAGCAACGTTTTTTAAATGAATTTTTGCATAAACGTAACTTGAACCACATCGTCTTCATATAACAATTTTTTTGTGAACTTAATTAAAAGCCCTAGAAAAGTTATCTTCTTACCTTGCTTTCCGATAACACTTTCCAAATTTTTGTCGTCTTCCCACAAACATGCCGGTCTTACATAGTTTGTTATTTCGGCCGGTTCTAGTAGCTTTAAAATGGCGATATCATGTTGGAACGTACGGGAATTGTAATTCTGATGAACAATAATTTTTTCTATTTGCCTGTCCTGGATACCTGGATTGGACCATACTTTTAAATAATATTTACCTGAAATAAAATAGATAAATAAATAAAATGGAGAAAAATGAAAGTAAATATTTGGATTACTTTGTGTAGTATACATATCTAATATTTTTCTGATGCTGCTTTCTTGAGTAAATGCAATTTTTGCAAATGCTGCTATTTTTGTCGGGAATAAGTTATAGTTTTACTTTAAAATTAAGTTAAAATCGAATCGTCAAATAAACTTAATTTAAAAGTAATGTTGTGGCTTATTCAAAATAAAAATAGTAAATTGTATACTTATACTATTGTATACTAAGTAGTCGGTTTCATAAAGCTCAATAAATTCTACATACCTACAATAAATAATAATTGACAAATGCTAGTTATACAGTGAACGGCTAAATTATGGAACATTATCATTATTTCGAGAACGTCGAGTTTTAAGGGGAAATCCCGAAACAGGTCGATTTTTGTTATAAAATACCCATCTTATAACGTACATGGAGTAGGGATGATGTCACCGGTGTAGGTGTAGTGACGTAATCGTTAATTTTTGTAAATAGAAATCGGTATAATGCGAGACCTCATTTAAACAAGAGTTTACTTCTCTATTTAACGATATTACATTGTTAACTAAAATATTTTTTAAGGGTACAAAAACAAGTATTTTTAATTTAAATTCAACTAAATTACAACTAATGATTTAATTAATAATGTACTTTAAAGTAACCAAATTATGCATAATAATTATTTTAAATTAAATGTTCGAAATGCTATCCATCGGTTTCTTGACAATATGCGAATCTACGAACACATTCATAAGTACATTGCGGATGACTTCTGGAGTAATTAGACTTATTTTATGCCTAATTCTATCTTTCAAGTCCTGTCAGTTTTTGGGTCTATTGACATAAGCTTTTGATTTTATGTAACCCCACAGGAAAAAGTCTAGAGGTGTTGTAGATCTGACCACCTTGCTGGCCACTCTATAAAACCTCGTCGTCCGATCCACCTCCTGGGAAAGCAATGATTTAAAAATTAACGTAATTCACATGCGTAATGCGGAGGGGCGCCATCTTGTTGAAACCAGATATTTTCACTAGGTAAATTTGGATTATTGGCATTTGGATACATGTTAGCAAGGACAGGTATAGTTGATTTCTCAAAAAAGTTAAATAACGTTCTCCTGTTAGATTTTCTGTAAAGAAAAAAGAACCAATGATCCTGTCAATATTGATCCCTGCCCATACATTTACTTTCTGAGGATACTGCGTGTGTGACTCAGTCATCCAATTTGGGTTTTCTTGAGTCCAATATCTGCAATTTTGACGATTCAAGGTACCATGTATAAAAAAATGTGGCTTCATCGGACAAAAGTATATTTGATTGATGAAATGTGGGTTGCTGATACATAAATCCTGCATATTTTCAGAAAATTGAAGCCGGCGATCGGGATCGTCGTCGTTTAATTCCTGATGTAGTTGAATTTTGTAGGGATGGTATTTTTCTTTTTTTAAAATATCAAGTTTCACATTGTCTTCAATTTTAGGACGCCCAGCGTTTGGAATATATTTAACGTACCCAGTTTCTCCCAATTTTCGGACTATTTTATTACCTGTTGATTGGCTGATGGGTCTGTCTGGATATTTTGCGTTGAATAAATTGCATACCCCGTTCTGTGTTCTTTTTTTATATCCAGATCCGCTAAGAAATAATATTTCTATACGTTGTGTTTCATTTAGGTGAGCCATAATTTAGTAGTCAAAAGTAAAAATTACAATTAACAACTGATGACAATTTACAAAATCAAAACATTTACGTCAATAAATATTACAGTAACTATGTCATTATCACTTGTTGCGAATGGATTTAGTGTCCGCAGTCATTTAAACAGAAACAAACAACAACCACACTATCACTTGTTTGAATTAACATTTGACAAAAAGTTTCAAGTGTTTATGAGATAACATTTTATTTTTGCTTTTTTAGGTATTTACTTTAGAAAGTCATGACAGGAACCGATTTCGAAATTTAATTTAAAATAATTATTATGCATAATTTGGTTACTTTACATTATTAATACATACATTATTAATTAAATCATTAGTTGTAATTTAGTTGAATTTAAATTTAAAAAAAAATTGTTTTTGTACCCTTAAAAAAATATTTTAGTTAAAAATGTAATGTCGTTAAATAGAGAATTAAATTCTCCTTCAAATGAGGTGTCGCATTATACCAAAATTTCTATTTAAAAAAATTAACGGCTATGTCACTACACTCACATCGGTGACATCATCCTTACTCCATGTACGTTATAACATGGATATTTTATAACAAAAATCGACCTGTTTCGAGATTTCTCTCAAAACTCGACGGTTCTCGAAATAATGATAATATTCCATAATTTAGCCGTTCACTGTATATTGAAAGGCTTTCCCGATGTATCGAAGTACAAAGGAGAAAAACCAACCAGATTGAGACAAAGAAATGAGTAAAACTATTATCGAAAGAAAAAAGAACCCGTTGTTATGGCGTCTCATCGATATATTTCAAAAATGTAAAGTTTACAGTTCAGCAAAAGCTTTGCTGTCGCTATGCTGAATTGAAAGAAAAATGTAAACTTTGCATTTTTGGAATAGCTCAAAAAGATAGAAATCGTTTTTGTTAAATCGTGTTTCATTCATCGTTACCAAAATAGGTGGCATCTCTTGTAGCTACCATGACTTGCGGGAAACAGGCAGAGATATTTGCCGATCGTCTGTGTATGAATTTGTATCTTTCTCAAATATCTGATGAAGCAGGGTATGAAATAACGTTTTAAGACATAACAGCAAAACTATTTAAAATCCAATTTTTGTAGAAACAATTATTTGAGTTCAGCTTCTTTATCTAATATTGTTTCAATAACTAATACCGAATCAAAACAAACAGTTTCATCATCTTCCAGAGTTAAACTAGGCACAATTAGAACTAGCAAAATTTTAAAATCATGACATTCGATGGTCAAACAGCATGGAAAACTTATCGTTAATACCGAATCAAAACAAACAGTTTCATCATCTTCCAGAGTTAAACTAGGCACAATTAGAACTAGCAAAATTTTAAAATCATGACATTCGATGGTCAAACAGCATGGAAAACTTATCGTTTTCAATTCGAAGCTACAGCTAGGGTAAATGGCTGTACAGAGAAAAAGATGACAGCTTCCATCTGATACATTTAAAGATATACCTGACAGTTACGGAAAAATGTCCATGTATATTTTGAAGATGTTAGTAATAGATAAAAAAGAAGTTCATATTAAAGCTGACAAATTCATTGTACCATATGTGTAAAAGATTACAAAATCAGAGAGGCGAAGATCTCTGAGAAAATCAGAGAGGCGAAATCACACTGTCCAGAAAAACAAACGTCCTTCTGATTATGATAAAGTTTTAAAAAACAAAAAAATATTTATTTAATAATATAGAATACAAAAAAGAATATTTTCTATGCGTATATATAAAAATAGACATTGATTTCCTCTTCTTACAACGTTTGGAACGGACGGGTACCTGTCCGTTCCAAACGTTATCGATTATTCTGGCTAAGATGACTTTGTTGGTTGCTATACGAAATTGCTGTGTTGAGGTCTTTCTATACCATGCTCTCAGGTTATCAAGCCAGGGCCCCTTTTTCCTTCAATTTTACCTTGCACAATGCATTGGAGTAGCTCGTATCTGCCTTGATTTCTCATTATATCGTCCCTACCATTTCCAACTATCGAATGTGAAAAATAGGGTTTTTTAGATTCAATACATTGTCCTTGCATAAGACGTGATACACCTTGTAGCAAAATATCGAAATTGTAGCTTTGCAAAGTTTATGGCATTTATGATGGTAGTCCAGATGACGAAAAGGTTTTAAACCGCAAAGCCCATCACAAACAACTCGAAAGAAAATATGCAGCCAGAAAAAAGGGATGAAGATAAACAGATGACTTTGGAGAATAGGAAAATATTAGCAAAAAGAAAAATCATAAGATTTCTTACCTGGCGAAACTGAATTGTCGTTTCGAAACTGGCGAAAGGAAATTAGTCGATAAGGGAATCTAAAATATGCATTCCACAAGCCGTTCATCATGGTCAAAATTTGTAGTGAATTCAATCTAATGAAGCACGTCATTATAAAAATATTAGCATTTCATTTAAATCTGAAATCTGTTCTGCCAACGCGTAAAGGAGCTGCAGGACCTTTTTTACGTAAAAAAAACTTGCTATTTATAATTTTACCATTTATAATTTAGGAGACGGGAACGTCCAGTGTTTCATATAGGATGAAACCGATGGAAAACGTGGTAGTACTGAAATTGCTACATGTATATTTAAATACATCATGTCTTACCCTGATATTGAACATGTCAAAATGATGTCCGACAAATTGCGGTAGATAACAGAAAAACTTTGCTTTTTCTGCCATGTGTCAATATGTTGTTAATTGTCACCCAAATTTAAAAACAATTGACCATGTGTTTTTTGTGAAAAGTAACCGGGTTACTCAAAAATGGAATTCGATTCTGTCCATTCAAAAATTGAATTCAAGTCAAACAATTTTCCTGTATACACCCTTGTAGAATGGGCACAAATCATAAGACTTGCTTGTACTAAGCCATACCCGTTTGAAGTGACATACCTATTTCATGACGACTTTTTAGATTTTAACCAAAAAAGTGTGACATATTCACTAGAAAATAAAATAAAACCAAAGAACAAGCAAAAGCAATATGAAAAAGAAAATGAAGTAAAAGATGAAGAGGAAACAAGTAATGGAAACACTAATTTTAAATATAGTGATGGTATATGGTACCAGTACCGGAAAAATGAAAATAACAAACTTTTCATGAAGACTAGCATTGACGGAAACTCTTTATTTCTTGAAACCAAACAAAAAAGAGACAACTAAAACAGTATAAATCCCGTTAGAGCATGTAAAGAAAGGCATCCAATCATGGATACGAAGAAAAAAACCTCTTATCACTATGTGAACAAAACTTAATACCTAGG